GGCGGCAGGTCGAAGACGCCTACGGCGAATCACCGCCGCCCCCTGCCTTTTCTGGAAACGCCTATGTGGCCGAAAGTTGGGCCAGAGCTTGGCCAAGCTATCGGACCATGTGTTCCCCGAGTCGGTCTGGACAGCCTTCGGGGAACACGTGGGGAGAGAAACAGGAAGTGGAGGAGACGGAGGAACAAGGAAGAGGAGGAGGAGGCCTCTTGGAAGCCTCTTGGGGCACTGTTGGGGCCTCCTGGGAGCTTTCGGCGGGCCTCTTGGAGGCCTCTTGGAGGCCTCCTTGGGCCTCTTGGGCGCCTTTGGGGGCTTCTTGAAAGCCTCTCTGGCCGTCTTAGGGCGCCGTCGGAGGCCGTCTTGGGGGCCTCTCTGAACTGACTTGAGGCCGTCTTGGTGCGCTTCAGGGCCGTCCTGGAGATCATCGTGGGCGTCTTGGAGGTCTCTTGGGCCGTCTCGAGGCCCTTTGGGGGCCTCTTGGGCTGTCATGGGGCCATCTTGGAGACCTCTTGGGCGATCTTGCGGGCCTCGCGGGCCCATCTTGGGCCATGTTGGCCGTCTTAGCGGCCATCTTGGCCGTCTTGGAGGTCATCTTGACCGTCCTGGAGGCATCTTGGAGGCCATCTTGGGCGTCTTGGAGGCCTCTTGGGCCGTCGTGGGGCCCTCTTGGGACTGGCCTGAGGCCTCTTGGGCCGTGAACCATCGTGGAGACCTCTGGGACGATTGTGGGAACTTCTTGAGGCGTCTTGGGCGGTCGGAACACGAAAACGGCGAAGAGCCCAAATCCTTCAACAACCGATAGGAAATCAATGATTTAGGCTTCTTCAGGCCTTCCTGGAACACCTCTTGGAGGCCTAGTGGGCCGTCTTGGAAGCCTCTCGAAGGCCTCGGGGGCCGTGTCGGGCCATCTTGGACCCTCTTGGGACATCTTGGAGGCCATCTTGGGCGAACTTGGAAGTCATCTTGGGCCATCTGGACCCTTTGGAGGCCATCTTGAGCCGTCTTGGAGGATTGTTTGCCGGACGTTGAGGTCGTTTGCGCGCCTCCCGTGTGGCCGGCGCGTTGGGCAGAAGCCCCAGGGGGAATTTCTCAAGGAACTAACACCGAAAGGATCCAGCCCGCCGGGCACCCCTGTGGCAAGCCAACAGTGGGCGGCGGATCCGAGTGGCCTTCGGTCCATCCCGTCACCGTGTCTGGGTTGTGGGACTGAGACCTCTCGTATACGTGTTGGGGTGTCGTGGGGAGCCTCTCGGGGGCCTCGTGGAGGCGGTTTCGGCGCCTCTTGGGGGCCTCTTGGGGGCTCGTAGGGTATTTTGGGGGCCTCTTGGATGCCTCGTTGGTGCTTCTTGGGCGCCTCTTGGGGCCTTTTGGGGCCTCCTGGTGGCTTCTTGGAGCGCTTCTTGGGCTATCTTGGAGCCTGCTCGGGCCGTCTTGGGGCCCTCTTGGAGGCGTCTTGGGCTGTCGTGGGGTGGTCTTGGGAGCTTCTTGAGCCATCTTGGAGCGTCGGACAGCCGAAAATGTGAGAACCCCGAACTCCTTCACAAGCTTTTGTAGAGTCGACGATGTAGGCCTCTTGGGGCTCTCTCGGGATGCCTCTTGGAGCGCTCTTGGGGCCTCTTGGGGCTCTCTTGGGCCGTCTTGGAACCATCTTCGGGCGCCTTGGAGCGTTCTTGGCATCGGAAATTCGAGTCTGGCGTAATGTGTAAAGGTTTATGGCCACGTGGACGCGAACATTGCATAAATGGCACGACTTTGTTGCCTCGAGGGCGCAAGAACTCAGCAATTTGCAAGGGTCTGTGGCCTCGGGAGCGAGAACAATGTGCAATTTAGTAAAGATTCTGGCTTCGGGGACGCGGTTCTTGAGTGACTGGAAACTGCAAGTGGCGCAGGGAGCAGCAAGCCTAAGCCTCGCAGCTTGGTGGCCCCACAATGGGGCCAGCGGATTGTCGCCACTTTTCAGTGCTGCTGGGGAAGCCATCACAGTGAGGCCACACGCAAATCCAAACGGGACCTCGCCATCCCTGGGGGAGTGCGAAGTGCGAACTTGTCGCCATCTTCGAGGGCTGCTAGGAGAGCCATCACAGTGGGGCCACACGCAGACCGAAACGGAGCCTCGCCATCCCTGGGGGGCCTGCGAAGTGTGAAATTGTCGCCACTTTCGAGGGCTGCTGGGGGAGACAGCATGGTGGGGTCCCACGCAGACCCAAACGGTACCTCGCCATCCCTGGGGGGCTGCGAAGGTGTGAAACTTGTCGCCACGTTGGAAGTCTGTTGGGGGAGCCAGCACAGTGGGGCCACATACAGTCCCAAATGGGACCTCGCCATCCTTGGCTGCGAAGTGTGGCCGCGCACATTCGTTTGAACAACATGCAAAAGTTTATTGAGGGCGAGTCGTTTTCAAACTGTGGCTCTCGATTTGGCGCCGCGCACACTCGTTTTGAAAATGTGCAAGAGCTTCACGGATTGAGGGCGAGTGATTTTCAAAATGTGGTTCTCGCCTTAGCGCCGCGCGCATTCGTTTTAAATTCTGCACGAGCGTCTCGGATTGTGGGCGAGTCGTTTTCAAACTGTGGCTCTCGCTTTAGCGCCGCGCGCATTCGTTTGAAACATGTGCAACAGCTTCACGGAGAGAGGGCGGTTTCTTTTCAACATGTGGCTCTCTGAAATTGTCGCCATATTCGAAGGCTGCTGGGTGGGCCAGCACAGAGGGGCCACACGCAGACCGAAACCGGACCTCGCCATCCCTGGGGGGGTGCGAAGTGTGAAATTCATTTTCGAGGGTTGCTGGGGAGGGGCCAAGAAACCTCACCATTCCTGGAAAGAGAACTTCGAAGTGCGAAACTAAGGCCACTTCTACAGGCTGCTGGGGAGGTGTGCCAGCACAGATGGGTTCCACGGAGACTTCAAGGACCTCGCCATTCCTGGGGGATGGCTGCGAAGTGCGAAATTGTCGCAGTTTTGAGGGCAGCTGGGGTGCTCAACACACTGGGGTCCCACGCAGATCCGGAGGAGGAGGGGTGGGGGAGGAGGAGAGGGAGGAGGAGGATGAGAAGGCGGCGGGGGAAATGGCGGAGGAGGAGGACGACGAGAAGGAGGCGTGGGAGGAGGAGGACGAGGACGACGAGCAATTGTTGAGCATTTCGGCATGGCAAAACCGCGACACTTCATAGTCTGGTTGCTTCGCCGCCTGTGTAACCTTGTCTTGCCCATGCTCCATCATCTCGCGTCTTCTGCCGAGGCGATTGGTCTTCCACCCGGAGGTCATCCTTGTGCTTCTCCTTCCCAATACAATGCCTCATGGCCGTTTGTACCTCCGTTGTGCGAGTCGGCCACGCACAGTTTGCACGATATAGATATCCGCCGT